TTCAATAGATTTAATTTGCGTAGGATTTACTTCAATGCCACGGTTAGAAACAAGGAATCCCAAGAACTTACCTAATGACACGCCAAATGCACATTTCTCGGGATTTAACTTCATGTTAAATTTGCGAAAAATCTGAAATGTATCAGTCAAGTGTTGAATATGATCCCCTATTTGTTGGGATTTGACCATCATATCATCTATATACACTTCCATAGTTTTTCCTAGGTGTTCTTGGAACATTTTGGTCACTAGCCTTTGGTATGTGGCCCCAACATTCTTTAAACCGAACGACATACTTTGTAACAATAAGTCCCCCTGTCCGTGATAAAGGAAGTTTTTTTTATCTAGAGGATCCATTTTAATCTGATTATATCCTGAATAGGCATCTAAAAAACTTAATAATTCATGCCCTGCAGTAGCATCAATTAGTTGATCTATGTGCGGTAATGGAAAAGAATCTTTAGGGAAAACTTTATTTAGATCAGTATAATCTACACAAACTCGCCACTTACCATTATTTTTGGGTACTACTACAGTATTAGCCAACCAATATGGATACTTTACCTCACAAATGGACCCAATTTTTAAAAGTTTTTGCACCTCATCTTGAATCACCTAATTCTTGAAGAAGCCTTGCTTCCTTTTCTTTTGTTTGACAGGTAGGTATGATGGATTTTCATTTAATTTGTGGGTCATTACCTCTGGTGGTGTACCTGTCATATCTGAATGGGACCAAGTAAAATAATCTGCATTAGCCTTTAAAATTTAATCAACTTACATTTCATCTCGGGGCTGAGGTTGGTTCCAATGTAAACTTTTCTATCTGGCCAATGTACAAACAGTACCACAACTTCCAGTTCTTCGAACGTTGTTTTGATATTTTCATTTTCTTCTGCTCTTGAATAGTATCAGTCCTCGAGTCTACATCTGTTTGCCCATCTTTAGTTGAGGCTCGTGTTGCTGCATCCTCAATTGAATTCTGTGATTGCTATTTTTCGTCACTTTTGGTGTTTGAATCTGCCACAGAGTTAATATTTCGAGAAGCTTGTTGATTACCATGGATTTGTCATATTCCCCATTGTGATGAAAACTTGGATGTAACGTAGATGGAACGACGTCCATTCCGTGAATTCATTGTCTGCCGAGAATTATGTTGTAAGCCATATCCATTTCTACTACCTAAAATTTGGTGTCTTTGACTACTCCTTCTGCGAATGGATGAGTGTTATCTCGCCTTTTGTTATGACGCTCAAGTTGTCAAAACCAGACAAGGTGTGTGCCTTAGGTATCAGCTTATCATCGGCTTGCATCTCGTTTATCACTCTCAACAGGAAGATATTCATGAAACTACCTGGGTCAATCAAAACTCACTTTACGTTAGTGCCATGTACAAATAAAGATATTACCAGTGCATCATTATGCGGGATCAATATGTCATCTGCATCTGCATCATCAAATGTAATACTATCTTCTTCCAAATCCCGTTGAACTCGCTTCCCGTAGGTAACTGTAATTTTTGACACCTTCTTCGCTGCCGTATATGTCACACCATTGATCTCTTCCCCTCCACTTATGACATTGACCGTCCTTTTTGGTGAATGAAGTTTTGGCGGTTCCTGTCTATTCTTCATATATGTCTGCTTTCCTTTTTCACTAAACAGTTTAGTGAAATACCCTTGTTTTAATAAATGTTCTACTTCACCTTGTAGCAATCTGCAATCCGCCATTTTGTGACCGTGATCGTTGTGAAACTCGCACAAAAAATCAGGATTTCGCCTGTTTGGGTTTGATCTCATTTCCTTTGGCCACCGTACCTTGTCTCCCATGCTTTTTAAAACAATCACCAACTCAGATGTGCGAACATTAAAACTATAACTGGCGATTTTTGCTTTCGAGTTTCTGTCGCCATCTCGCGTATCTCGCGTGTTTCGTTCTTTTCCAAACCTTGATGATGAACCTGACTCTCTATCTCTTGACTTAGGATCATACCTTGGGTATTCCTGTTTTGAACGCGTGTCCCTTCCTGCTGGTCCTATGTAAGGCTCGTACCTGTTTTTACCGGACCTTTTTTCAGTTTCAGCTCGTCTTGAACTCACTTTTTCATCTTTCCGAGACTAAATGATAGTATCTTCCTCTATTCGCAACTTCGTGTTGTATTTATTACAGACATCATTCCAAGATGTTGCTGGAAATTCTCGTAAACTTTCCTTGAGTCTCCTCGTGGTTTCCGAGCTTTTTTCATTTAGATTACTGGAAAAGGCCCTAGCCGCCCGGTTATCAGGTACACGTGACAACATCATCATCTCACGCTGGAATCTGTCTACAAATTACCTGAGCAACTCTGTATCTCCTTGTTTTATTTTGAAAATGTCCTCCATTCGTTTTTTTTAACTCTTTGAGCTCCCGAGTGTGCTTTGATAAATGAATCTGCAAGCTCAGCAAAAGAATCTATAGAATTTTCAGGTAAAAGAGAGTACCATGTTAACGCTCCCTTCGTGAATGTTTCTCCGAATTTTTTGACCAGTACTGATTCAATTTCTTGCTTGGTCAAGTCATTGCCCTTTACACCGGTTGTGAATGCAGTTACGTGATCCCATGGATCAGTTGTTCCATCATATTTTGGAATATCAGGCATCTTGAATTTCTTTGGAATTGGTAAAAGAGCAACACTTGGCTTCCAAGGTTGTTGTGAGTATTTGTCCATCTCTATTCCCTTGATGACGGGCGGCACTCTAGGTATTTGCTCTATGCGGTCGCTCTGCTCCTTGAACTATTTCTGCAAAGTTAGTACTAAATTTTGTAAATCAGAATTAACTGGGTTACCTGACCCACCATCACGAGATTCACTGGGAGTTCCTCCACTGCCTGAGTTAACGAGTCCTGAGCGAGGATTTTCTAGGGTGTTGGCGGTACAACTGGCAACTGGTTAGTGAAAGCCTGAAGAGCATTACTGACCTGCTGAGCGATTAATTTTTTCAAAGCTTCATCAATAGCTTGATCATTTGCATGCTACTCATTTATATTCGATTTAGATCCGTCAGGAGTCCCCTCTCATGATTGTCGAGGAAAATGTTGTGGTGAGGGAGCTGGAGTTCCTTCACATTGTTGGTTTAGCTGATGTTGCTGATTTTCTTGGTGTTGTAAATTTTGTTGGTTGTTGTCGTTGACATTCGACATGATTGTTTTGACAAACGAATCGATTTAGAAAGCAAAAGATTATCAGATTCCCGATAACGGAACCAATTTGTTTAACCAGAAAATAAGAATTTCGATCAAAGCTTAATTTTAGAAGAACTCGGGTTACTGATAATCAAATAAGGAAACGACTAGGTAATGAAAAGGAAGAATTAAATTGAAAGGTAGCAGAGTAAGCAAAGCAAAGTAAATCAGTATATTCCAATAATATTCTGTGTCCTTTACAAATATTATTCTTCTCCTTTTATAACTATTTCTAAGTGCTACGTTTCTTTTCTCTCATAATAGAGCCATTATGAGCAATTTATGGTATTAAAAAAACGTTATAATTGGCAATCGTAACTGTTTCGTGAAGGTTCTATAACATTTTCCATCATTGATGCTCATTAATTTCAGATAATACGTATCAGTACTTTTTGCTATCTAGATTCATTCCTCCGATGTCTCTTCAAATTACCAAGATATCTGAGTAACCGCTCCTTCTTGTTTTCTCGAATCTTTGCCCGTGCCTATTAAGGTTCGTGTCTCTTTGAATACTTTTTTCTAGCTGTCAATCTTTCATTGATCCACGTATCTTGACATGTCAGCACATAATTAATTCCAAATATTAACTTGATTTTTCTCAATACAGACATACTAGGGTGGGAGAGGCTGTTATACTTCTCATTTATTTATAACCGACTAATGTTCAATCCATCATTCTTTTGCTATAGAAAATAAAAGATAAAATCTAAATAGCTAAGTGAAGATGTTTGGACCATCTAACCCACATTCTATGTAGAAAATTATGTCAACATTATAAAAGTCGATTTCTACGTATATAGGTGCCAATTGATTAGATATGAAACCACGTCCATCATAGAATCATGCTTCCACATTTTCACTCCATACATCTAATCACAACAATTAAACCAAAAGTAGAGTAAAAGGCGACATAGATATTGGATTTTTATAGCCCGTTTGGCCAAGCTGCAAAAATCAGCTTATTTTGAAAATTACTTTTTTTCATAAATGCTTTTCTCAAAAGTGCTTTTGGTGAGAAGCCGTTTATATTTGGCTAATTAGTTTGAAAAGCACTTCTGAGCATCAATTAGAGAAGCTTTAAAAAAACTGCTTCTAAGTGTATTTTTCTCAAAAGTGCTTTTCAAAAAAGTGCTTTTGGAGAAAAGTTATTTTTTTTCTGCTTCTGCTTCTCCTCAAAAGCACTTTTTTCCTTCTAAAAGCTTGGCCAAACACCTCAATTTTGGCCAAAAATGCTTTTGACAAAAAAAAAAGTACTTTTGGACAAAAACAAGCTTGGCCAAACAAGCTACTATTCTATTAGCAATATCGTCACAATAAATATCTTGACGTGTAAGAAAAAAAAACTCAATATTTGACCAATATAATTTTACTACTGATTTATCTCCCAGGATACTCCACTTTTGTTAAATTATTATGAGATTATATATTTGTTACAAATATGCAGAGCCTAAGTTTTATATGCCGATGGTATATAACTTTTGATGGACTCTATCAGCTCCAACAAGTTACCTACCTTACTGTTTCTAGGTTGGTAACTTGTGCTTACTAGATATTTATGTGGAGTCAAATTAAAATTTAAATAATCTACTTGTATAAATATATTTTTATAAATAAAACTTGAACTTTTTTCCATTATCAATTGCTGCATTAATGTGATCAGAATTGAAATATTAACGTTAACACACATACACACAAAAGGAAAGATTTTCTAGAAAAGGAAAAAATAAAGTTCTTCAAAAAGTCATTATTATCCCCAACTTCCCCAAAGAACAGTTTTCCAAACTTGAGGCGGCAAAGGAAACAGAACCGAAATCGCGTCGGGTCCATCTATAAATAACGGCCTTCCCCTTCAACGATAAGTGCACCGAATGCGTGCTCCAATTACACGATTTATCCGAGTACGTTTTTCCATTTATCCGAGTACGAAAAAATATAGAAGTGCATAAGATTACGTCTTATTACACAAAATTTTATTCCTTCGCCATAGTTAATTAATGTCTCAATTGTGGCTAGTGATTCTCTTTGAGTTATTTTCTCTTTTCGTCTGGAACAAAGACATGCTGCAGGATTTTTTTTTTTTTTAATGATGGTGGGAATTCGGCCACTTGTGGGCACCTTGATAATTCTACCGGGTACGTGTTGTTTCTCACCACAAGTACCGGGTCCAAGACTTAGAATTTATTGCCAACTGGAATTGAACCTGAGACTTCATGTTCTCCTCCCAGTTCTTTGACCACTAGGCCGTGGTGAGGATAATGGTTCTCTTCCTAGTTCATTGACCACTATGTAAATGCTAGTGGTTTCATTGCCGTAGTTGAGAAATCCAAAACTTTGTGGATATAGGAACCCAGTCTGATATGTTTTTTGCTTGTGCTAAGTGATACATAAAATGTACGGAAGAAGCTAACAACTTTTAGTCCTTCTCCAAGAACATTGGAATACTTTGTCAGTCAACAATGTGGAGGTGCATGTGTATAGTTTTTTGGCGATCAATTCATTATTAAAGGTGATATTGAATCCATTTTTGTTCCGTACGACTCATGTGATAAAAATAAAGCTTCATCTTTTGTTGAATAAAGACAGATTCACGTTTTGTTTTTCTATAGAAAATGGAATATGTGATGGATGGTAGAAGATGTTACGGTAGTATATTATCCTTCCCCCCATTTATCCTCATTTAACCCAAGCACATTATCCTTTCCTCCGTTTCTCCCATCGAGATCAAGAGCTTCTGCCACCCCATAATTTCTTCACCTTCTAAGTGACACTTCTTTGTTATATTCATACCAGTAGCTTATGAAGACTTAGCTAAAGATAGGGCATAATGGAAGAATAAGACCCATATAGGTAATATCTGTTAGTTGGTAATAGGTTTCAGTCCTGTTAGTACGTTGGTTTTGAACCTATTGCTTTTCTAGGAGTATTTTGACCTTATCGTAGATTTATATGCCAGTAAAAGTGATAAATAACTTTTAATATTATTATTGCTATTATTTGTATGTATATATATATATATTTTTGATCAGTTTATTTATATATATTTTTTCATTTTTATTTTTGTTTGATAAATGAGTTTAAAAAATATTTATGCTAGATAGAAGCCTTTATAGGGCTGTCCAGTGCACAATTTATATGATTGAATGAAATATATTAAGCTTTGGGGAGTGCTCGAGAAGGAAGAAAGATACATATTCTTCTAAAAGATGTGAATTAAGTAGCGGGAACAAATGTGAGAATAGTGGAAGAGATATTGAGTTTTTCAGAACCAATGATTTGTATTGTGTCTGTACTTTTTATCCTAATTATGGATGAGGTAACTAGTAGTATACAAAATGAGCATTTATGAAGCATTTGTTTGCAGATGATATTATGTTAACTGAGGGAAGCAGCTACCATTAACAAAGAGTTGGAACCATGGAAAGTACTATGAAGCATAAGAATTTTACGATAAGTAGAAGCAGACTGAAGATATTGCAAGTTTATTCTCTATAAGAAAAATGAGATTAGATCCGATTGTGGTTCTTAAATGCTGACACTTTAGATACTTAGGCATAGTCTTTCTGGGGGAGTGGCATGATAGGCAAAGATGTAACACACAGAATAAAAACTGAATAACCTAAATATACGAGTGCTTCAGGAGTACTAGGTGGTAGGGAGTTCAACAGAATAATTGTAAAACCATTAATGTTTCACAAATAATGTCATGAGGAGAGAATGTTGGACTTCTAAGACCCAACTTGTCCACAAAGAGAATGTAGTGGAAATGCGGAAACCGTACGAAATTACTGTCCATGATATTTATTTGCTTTAGATGTGTCCTTTGCATGAAAATTAGATGATGTCCAAAGCATCTCAAATTTCACACCCATCTAGAAAGCCACTTGTGGTCCTTTTAGTCTAAAGAATCTAAGAAAAGAAAACTCTAAATCAGGAAGTTGATTCTTACCTCCGTTGAAGCTGACTCACTTGTATTATTTAACAAAGCTATGATTTTGAGACGACTATTAACTAATTCCTTGATTTTCTAAGGAGTGATTCTTTCTCTTCTTATATTAATGCCGATCTCATTCTCTTCATATCGTGCAGGATGCAATACCTGTGAAAGATGAATATTCATCTACTGCCAATAACAGTGTGCTCATAAAATGTGCATCACCTTTTCCCAAAACTACTCAAAGTCCTGCGACAGGTCCTGTTACCGAAGATGAAATTAGAGCTTTTCTGATGCAGAGAAAACAAGTGACCAAACTGAGTCTTGTCAGCAAATTTAAATCTCGTTTAAAATGTAGAGAGGTATGACAAGACTGGTTTGTCAGCATAACTGCATGTCAGCCAAGTTTTTAAAATCCTTTTACTTCACTTCTTGTGATATGGTAGATTCCTCCTTCCCTTACCTGATTTTATTAATTAATTTTGATGCAGGATAAGATTGCTTTTGCTAATGTATTGAGGAGGATCTCCAAGATACAGAAAACCGGTACAGCTAGCTATGTTGTGTTACAGGTAGGTTTGTGCTGAGTATTCATATTCTCGATCCTAACTAGTTTGGGATTGAGACATATAATTGATAGATGCTAGTAGTTTCTCCCGAGTGTTCGTCAAATTTTGTGGAAATCTTTGGGTTTCTTGGTTTTTGAAGCATTATGTCCTTCATTCTGTTTGAGGCAATTGGTTAGGTGGACATATGGCTAGGTTTTTTGCTTCTGCAAAGATATCAGTGTGTTTGAGTTTGATGGTGCTGATTTGACAGTGCAGTACTAAGTAAATGCTAGTTTTTCGTTGTTGTAGTTGAGAAATTCAAGACTTCGTGGATATAGGCACCCAATCTGAGTGCTAAGTGATAAATAAAATTGTATGGCAGAAGCAAACAATTTTTTGTCCTGCAAGAACATTCGAATACTTTGTCACTCAACAATGTGGAGTTGCATTATAGTTTGGAGAATTGATTTTTAAAGGTGATATTTTATCCATTTTTGTTCCGTAGGACTCATTTTATAAAAATAAAGCCTTATCTTCTGTTGAATATAGACAGATTCACGTTTTGTTTTTCTATATACAATGGAGGATGTGATGGCTGGTAGAAGATGTTACGGTAGTATATTATCCTTCCCCTCATTTTGTCTTCATTTAACCCAACCACCTCCGTTTCTCCCACTGAGATCAAGAGCGTCTGCCGCCCTATAATTTCTTCACCTTCCTTTTTACACTTTTTTGTTATATTCATACAAGTAGCTTAAAATAATCACACATACGTTAGAAGGTGCAAGTAGCATGTCTTGAGGATAAAATGAGAGAAGGTCGATTGAGATAGTATGGTCATGTCCTGCATCGACCTACAGATGCACCAGTTCATAGGTGTGAAACTGTAGTGAGTGAAGGTGTTAAAAGGGGGCGAGGTAGACCTAAAATCACATGGAAAAAAGTTGTCTCGAAATTTATACAATTCCTTAAGGATTAATACAGATTTAGCTAAAGACAGGGAATAATGGAAGAATAAGATCCATATAGGTGATATCTTCTATTTGGTAATAGGTTTTAGTCTTTTTAATATAATCCTAGATTTATATGCCAGTAAAAATGATAGATAACTTTATTATTATTATTATTATTATTATTATTATGTTGTTAGTATTATTATTATTTGTATATATTCAACTTATTTTTCATTTTCATTTTTGTTTGATATGATGATGACATGAGTTTAAAAGTTATTCATGCTAGAGAGAAGCCTTTATAGGGCTGTCCGTGCACAATTTATATGATTGAGTGAAATTCATTAATTTTTGGGGAGTGCTCGAAAAGGAAGAAAGATACATATTTTTCTAAAAGAGATGAACGAAGTAGCGGGAACAAATGTGAGAATAGTGGAGGAGATATTGAGTTTTTTAGAACCTATGATTTGTATCGAGTATGTAGTTTATATCCTAATTATGGATGAGGTAACTAATAGTATACAAATTGAGCGTTCATGAATCATTCATTTTGCAGATGATATTATGTTAATTGACAGAAGTAGCTAATGTTAACAAAGAGTTGGAACCATGGAAAAGTACTATGGAGCATAAGAGTTTTACGATAAGTAGAAGCAGATTGGAGATGTTGCAAGTTTACTCTCTATGAGAAAAATGAGATTAGATCCGATTGTGGTTCTTAAATGTTGACACTTTAGATACTTGGCATAGTCTTTCTGGGGCAATGGCACGATAGGCAAAGATGTAACACACAGAATAAAAATTGAATGACCTAAATATAGGAGTGCTTCACGAGTACTAGGTGATGGGGAGTACAAAAGAATAATTGTAAAACTATTAATGTTTCACAAATAATGTCTTGAGGAGAGAATGTTGGACTTCTAAGACCCAACTTGTCCACAAAGAGAATGTAGTGGAAATGCAGAAACCGTATGAAATTACTATCCATGATATTTATTTGCTTTAGATGTGTCCTTTGCATGAAAATTAGATGCTGTCCAAGGCATCTTAAGTTTCACACCCATCTAGAAACCCACTTTTGGTCCTTGTAATTTAAAGAAAAAAGGGCAGCCCGGCGCATAGGGGTTCGGGGAAGGGTCGGACCACAAGGGTTTATCGTATGCAGCCTTTCCCTACATTTTTGCAAGGGGCTGTTTCCACGGCTTAGAACCCGTGACCTCCTGGTCACGTGGCAGCAACTTTACCAGTTATGCCAAAATTCCCCTTCAAATTAAAAGAATATAAGAAAAGAAAACTCTTAATTGGGAAGTTGATTCTTGCTTCTGTGTCAGCTGACTTACCTGTACTGTTTAACAAAGCTATGATTTTGAGACTACTATTAACTAACTCCTTGATTTTCTAAGGAGTGATTCTTTCCCTTCTTATATTAATGCCGATCTCCTTCTCTTCATATCATGCAGGATGCAATACCTGTGGAAGATGAATCTTCATCTACAGCGAATCACAGTTTTCTCATAAAGCGTGCATCACCCTTTCCCAAAACTGCTCAAAGTCTTGCCACAGGTCCTGTTACCGAAGATGAAATTAGAGCTTTTCTGTTGCAGAGAAAATCAGTGACCACACTGCATCTTGTCAGCAAATTTAAATCTCGTTTGCAACGTAGAGAGGTATGACAAGACTGGTTTGTCGAGACAGATTTGCCTGTTTGTTGCTCACTGACCTATAGATTAGGCTCGTAAATGCAGGGAGGCATTGCAATACAAATTTATCGACTTAAAATTTTGTTGCTGACCAAATGCATCATAGAGTCTGAGCCTCTTCATATTTGAGTTGATATTTTGAATAAGCACCCTAAAAATGTAAAGCAGAACTAGATGTCCTCAGCGTAAATGCATGTCAGCCAAGATTTGACACTGCTCTTACTTCTTGTGATATGGTAGATTCCTCCTTTCCTTGCGTGACTTCATTAATTAATTTGATGCAGGATAAGGCTGCTTTTGCTGATGTATTGAAGAGGATCACCAAGATACAGAAAACCGGTACAACTAGCTATGTTGTGTTACGAGAGAGGTGAATGTTGATTTTGATGTTGATGTTGATGTTGATGTTTTTCCTAGGATAACATGATATTGCAGTCTGTTTTAATGGAAGAACAATCCCTTTCCGTTCTTCTTTCTTTTTCTTTTGTGTTTGATTCCTTCGTGTTTCTGTCTCTGTTCTTTCTCTTGTTCTATATTTGAATGTTGAACGGTTCTGAAAAAGGTAGATTACTTTACTTGAGTTTTGTTGATTGGCTTTGCTTGTGCATGCAGGCTGGAGTCAAATACACAAGTACATGGTCTGGCAGCCAAGATTAATCGTTTGGGCATTAATGATTAGGAAGGATAATGGGGCAGTGCAGATGGATTTTCCTGGTTCTGTTATAAAATGAAACATTCGCACTTTGAATATCCAAAGTGAAGGTTTCGACCTTTTTTTTAATGAAGCGAATCTGTAATTTTGTTTTTGGATTTTCTTTTATTGGATTGTTTATTCGCTTCATTGAATTTTCAATTGAAATATATCCAAAGATCAGTACAGTATATTACATGCTTAATATGTTAAGAGGCACAGTACAGCATGTCAAATAAACTAGTAATTGAGAATTACCAATAACTATTATGCTTTAATTCCAAATTATTTAGGTCAGTTATATGAATCTTCTCTATTCATTGTGGTTCATTTTATTTCACTATTCAATAGTATATCGTGTAGAACAAGTTATGGATCTCTAGAACAATTCATTTTTCAAATGTCATAGCTATCTTTACGTTGTCATACGATCTCCAATCCAACTAAGAAAACACATGTTGAACACCAAAGTTTATGCAATTGTATTAATAACGAGTAACTATAGACTAACTAGTAGGTATATTTTTTATAGTTATTAGCTACGGCTCATTTTATGTTAAGTCTGCATAGATTTTAAGTTACAGTAGGACATTTTAAGACAAACTTCTTTTTACATGATTTTAGGTCAACCTCGTTCATTTTTTGACACATTCAATTACTGGAGTCGTATCCTTGCTGCAGTCTTAAGTTTTATTATGCAAATCTTTTTGTTTCTCCTCTATATTTGACAAGACGAATCAATAGGACAAACGAAGATGTCATTGGCTACATATCGGTGGAGAGTTGGAGAATGTAAGAAGTTGGGAAAGAAACTGAACTTATTTTGAGTTTTGTTGGACGTTCAAAACCTTGTACAATGATTCAAGCTTTGCTTTGTTTGTAATAGTCTCAAATGATTTTAATAGATAACTGAGCCAAAAAATGAGCAATAAATCTGTGCAAAGGGTTGGGTACACTCGCAAACAAATGTATTCCTCGGAGAAAATGTGGCGTGAATCAAGATTAGTGTGAAAGGATTTTATGTTGTATATACTAAAGAGCTTTTATATTGCTGTAGCTTAACCACATCTCATCTATCATATTTGCTCGGTTAACTGCCAATTAGTTGATCTTGTAGGCGCAGCATTGTTTGATGCGTTTAAGGGTATGGTCTTGCGGTTAGCTGAGTTCTTCTCATGCCTAATAATCTTTGATGGGTAGAGCTATTTAGTATCTGTATAAACTGATTATATTTCACTTAATACAGTAATCTTTAGTAGTGAACCATCAATTGGGGAGTCCGAAACTTAAATAGTGCCAAAAATGGCACAAAATACGTTTCTACTGTTAAAAAAAAAGTTACATAAATACATAAAACATAGCATAATATTGCGTTTTACTTTAACGAAAAGTTAGCCGTTAAAGTTAAACGCCGTATTATACTGCGTTTTATTAAAAAATTAATTTTTTTAGGAAAACGCAGTATTATACTGCGTTTTCCTTAATCGCAGTATAATACTGCGTTTTCCTTAAACGCAGTACTGTACTGCGTTTCCCTATAAAGAACTATAAAATTTGGGCCCACCTTAATAAACTCGACTGCAGAGAATATTTATTTTTTGTGTAAAACGTAGTATAATACTGCATTTTACACTAAAACGTATTATTATACTGCGTTTTACACTAATTTTTGGGTCCACCAAGTGTTCTGCGGATAACTGACATAACAATAATTAAAATATATAAAACGTGGTAGTATACTGCGTTTTACATAAAAAAATTCTGCACCCCAAGCTCGGACTTGCCTTATTTAAAGGCGTNCCGCTTACAATGGGGTACGATAAATTTGTATCGTTGTTACATAAAAATATGTGTGAGAAAACGTTCGGTTAACCTTAAAGTAGCCGGTAGATTTTCGTATTCAGTGACCCCGCAGGGGTTTGCTTATTATTCTGAGTTTAACATCGAAGATGATGAAACTCTTAGAGATTTTTTGCGGATTTCAGATGAATACAGGGAATTTATTGTAATAAAATTATTGGAAATGTACGTCAAGGTTGAAGACGTTCCTAATAATGAGGGCGTGCATAGTAGGGATAACCCTTAGTCATCGGGTGGTTATTCTGGAGCAGTTTTTGCCGGACAGATTGCTGATGAAAGAGCTTGC